TCTGTATGGCAAATGTGTTGCTGATTAGTCAATAAATAAAACACTGATTGGCCATTGGCTAGGCAGGAAGTGTAGGCGGGACAAGGAGGAGAATAAAGCTGGGAAGTGGAAGGCTGAGTCAGAGAGACACTGCCAGCCGCCATGATGACAAGCAGCATATGAAGATGCCGGTAAGCCACGAGCCATGTGGCAAGGTATAGATTAATGGAAATGGATTAATTTAAGCTGTAAGAACAGTTAGCAAGAAGCCTGCCACGGCCATACAGTTTATAAGCAATATAAGTCTCTGTGTTTACTTGGTTGGGTCTGAGAGGCTGTGGGACTGGCAGGTGAGAGAGATTTGTCCTGACTGTGGGCCAGGCAGGAAAACTCTAGCTACAATGTCCTGATGCCTCTGCTGGTGATTGGAGATCATCTACATGAAGACACCCTCCAGGACATAATCCAACATTGCCCAGAACCTTCAGTGCCTGTGCAAGTAAGAAATAAAATGTTTCCAGACAGACCCAAGACGAAGATCTTGCTTGGTGCCAGCATCTAAGCCAAGGGTGAGAGATTCCACAGTGAATGTGGGCATGTACCAAAGGATCTCAGTGTGCTGTGGATGAAGGAAAAATGAGAAAATCACACTGTGCTCTGGCCTTGCCACTCTCTGCCGTGATGTGTTTTTCCTCTTGGGAGGAGAAGACACACATCTTGGGAAAAGAGCTCCTCCTAGGCTGCTTCTTGACATCTAGAGTGGAACCTGGTGTACACTAGGCCCAGGTTGTTCAGGCAGAAAGAGAAGACTTAATCGGGTGAGGTAATACACTCTGGAGGTATAGGCCAGGTTTGTCCCTGTCACTGAACATGGCATCAACTATCTTTATGTAGCCACTAGATTGGGACAGATTAAGAAAGGTAAGTATTGTGAGGCAGACAAAAGTATGGATGTACCCCCATGTACCAGAAGTGATGCTGTGGATATTGCTCTATAAATAAAATGCTGATTGGCCAGTAGCCAGGCAGGAAGTATAGGTACGAGAAGCAGAGAAGAGAATTCTGGGAACAGGAAGGCTGGGGAGGAGATGCTGCCAGCCACCACCATGAGTACAAACATATAAGACACTGGTAAGCCACAAACCATGTGGCAAGGTATAGATTTATAGAAATGGGTTAATTTAAGATGTAAGAACTAGATAGCTAGAAGCCTGAGCCATTAGGCCAAATAGTTTAAATGATATAAGAGTCTGTGTGTTTATTTTATAAGTGGACTGTGGGACTGCTGGGGCTTGGTGGGTCCTGGAGAGAAAAACTCTAGCTACAAATGGTGCCCAATGGGTTGGCAAGAGTTTCCACCTAAAACCTGAGAATAAAGATCCTAAAATGGAGCTAAAAACAGCTTCCTAGTTGTCTCTCTCAAGTTAGCGGCAGCCTGCTGGTTTGAGCTACTATGGTGGGTTCCTGGCGTGTGCACTTGACTTACAGTATGGAGAGAATGAGGTGTCTTCAAGCGGCACATTACATTGCATGGTGGATTTAGCTTTTGCTAGTACAAGAGAGAGAGAAAGAGACAGAGACAGAGAGACAGAGAAACAGAGACAGAGAGACAGAGATTTCTGGGCTACAAGCTGCTTTGATAGAACCATAGACCCACTGTTTCTGAGAGTTGATGACTCCCAGAGCTGGTGGTAAACATACCACCGCCATGTTGGGAAGCTGAGGTAGGTGGAGCCACCAGCCAAAGCTGCTATTTTAGCCTTAGTAATGCTGTAGTTTAAAACAATAGATTCACCTTAAGAAAGATTCAGATACAATAGTTTACAATGTGTGTAAAAATGTATGTAGGCTTGGAAGAGAGAGAAAAAGAAATATATACAGTTATATAAAAAATACATAGTTTTGGGCTGGAGAGACGGCTCAGTTGTTAAGAGCACTGGCTGTTCTTCCAGAGGACCTGAGTTCAATTCCCAGCACCCACATGGTGGCTCACAACCATCTGTAATGAGATCTGGTGCCCTCTTCTGGCCTATAGGCATACATGCAGACAGAACACTATATACATAATAAATTAATAAATTAAAAAATACATAGTTTTTAAAAATAAAGTCTTTAAAGAGACAGTAAAGGTAGTATAAAAATAAGCCATATAAAGATGGATATTACACAGAGAATCTGGATTGTGTTGTCTTTGGAATTCTTTTTTTTTTTTTTTGGTTTTTCGAGACAGGGTTTCTCTGTGTAGCTTTGCGCCTTTCCTGGAACTCACTTGGTAGCCCAGGCTGGCCTCAAACTCATAGAGATCTGCCTGGCTCTGCCTCCTGAGCACTGAGATTAAAGGTGTGCACCACCACCACCCAGCATCTTTGGGATTCTTAACTGCAGAAAAACATTTGATTGTAAAAGCTGTTGAGTTAAGCCAATATGTGTATTTTAAAGATACCTTGACTTCAAAATTTGGATCTAAGGATATGTTGCTTTGGAAAGGAGGCTCTGTTTTTGTTTCCACAGAAAGCAAGAGGCTAGGGATTTGTTCCAGATTAAGACACATCAAGTTTGACCAGCCAAGACCCCCTGAATGGTCTCTGATGATACCATGGCCCAGATGATCCAACATCCAGAATGGTTTCAAGGCAACTGCCTCAGACAATACACCCTCACGGACTACTCTATAAGCCTAAAATTTTCTTCGTGTCCCCATAAGATACAGCAACCCCCTCCAGCAGGAAGTAGCAAGAGAAGCTATGCCCAAATTCCCAAAAATACCAAGCTGGCTTTGGAGGTGGAATTGGTTCACTCCATCTCTAAACCCAAGCATATTCCTAAAATAAAAGGTTGAGAGATTCTTGTGTCCCATATCAAAAGAACCTTCTGGTGTGGGACAGAGAAAAACCAATATTTTTATTTAAAACAGGTTGATTATAAATGTGATCTCTTTCTAAAGAAGAAAAGGTATGGTGATATCTTAATTGTACTGAAATGTGATTTTATTTGTATATTAATAAGTAAAGTTGCCTGAGGGTCAGAGCTAATAGCAAGCCATAGCAGAAGCTGGGTGGTGGTGGTGCATGCCTTTAATCCCAGCTCTTAGGAGCAGAGCTAGGCAGATCTCTGTGTGTTCAAGGATACAGCCAGCATGGAGACACACGCCTTTAATCTCAATACCAACCATAGAAGACCTGGAGGTCTGTACAGACAGGCAGTGGCGAGGAGGTCATGTGGTTGGGTTTACAACCAATGAGAAGGCAGAATAGAAAGTCTATAAAAAAGACAAACAGACAGGAAGTAGCTCTCTTGGCTGAAGAGGACAGCAGCAGCAGTGAAAGGTAAGGTTTTTAGGTCTGAACTCTGACCTCTTGGGTTTTCATCTCTGCATTGGTTCTGTGTTTCTTATTTAACAAGACCATTCATCTACAAAAAGGGGATATAATATAGATATAATAGGATGAAAGGTAGAGTAATAAACCTACTTTTAAAGAGTAACAACTTGTTTAGAAATTTTTTACATTGCTATGGATTTTAGTTTATTGATACAAGTTTAAACTTAATTTTGTTATACTGTATATATATTTCTACTCTCATTGGAGGTATTATGTTTATGTAACTCATTTAAATTTTAATGGATAATTAAAAAATACAGATTAATAGTCTTCTGTGATAGTCAAACTTGTAGCCATATTAGTTAAGTTTTCTTGTATATATAGATATATTTCAGATAGATAAGGATTCTTCAAACCCTTCAAAGACCTACAGATTATGGCATTTAAAATGTTTTAAAAAATTTAGACTTTCTGGACAATGAGACGTGTCTGCTCCTGGCAGCACCGATTTACTTCAGAGAGGATGATGGGCATTGAAGACACTCTATATGGAGTTTATCTTCACATTGGCAAAAATAACCATTTGGGCAAGAAACTGTTCTTGCCTGGACTGCTTGAAAAAAAATATATCAACTGGACATGCAGGACCCATAGGAAGGTGACCACTGAACTTTGTTTGGCAAAATGGTCCTTCATGTTCCTGATTCATGGAAGAAATTGCCAGACATTCTACAGGACACAGAGAGAAGTGACTGAGAGACTCTAGGCCTGTGGGCTGAAGACAGATGTGCCAACTTTACAAAGGAACATTAGGTGACTGTCCAGGCTGCCAGCTGTCTCTGTCTACCCTGCAAGACTCCCAAAAATTGCTTGCATCCTTCTCCCATTTCTCAGGTAATATTATATCCTTCTGAGGTCTTTGACGTAGTTGGAAACTAGATAGTTATAATTTTCCTTAGTTATGATGAAAGATAAGTTAGATATGAAACCTTAGACTCACAAATATAGGATAGATAGGATATCTTCTTTAATTTTGCCAAATAGACTAGATATTATAAATAGACTAGATATTATAACTGTAATTCTTGCTTGATAATTGTTTTGTTATATGTAATTTTACTATGTGAAATTTAAAACCTTCCTTTTTGAAAAAAAAGAAAAGGGGAAGTGCTGTGGATATCGCTTTGTATAAATAAAATGCTGATTGGCCAGTAGCTAGGCAGGAAGTATAAGTGGGACAAGCAGAGAAGAGAATTCTGGGAACAGGAAGGCTGGGGAGGAGACGCTGCCAGCAGCCACCATGAGTACTAACATGTAAGATACTGGTAAGCCATGAGCCATGTGGCAAGGTATAGATTTATAGAAATGGGTTAATTTAAGATGTAAGAACTAGATAGCTAGAAGTCTGAGCCATTAGGCCAAATAGTTTAAATGATATAAGAGTCTGTGTGTTTATAAGTGGGCTGTGGGACTGCTGGGGCTTGGCAGGACCTGGAGAGAAAAACTCTATCTACAAAGTGGCACCTCTAGCAAATAGCATATCCTCTCCTCTCCTCTGCTTCCTTGGTCCACAGCTGGGGTTAAGTCAGCCTATGAACATGCAAGTCACTTAAAGGCTTGCTTGTTCCTTGGTGCTCACAGAATCTTGGGCACATTATAACCTGTTGGATTTATCAGGGATGAGGACTATGTAGTACTTACCAAGTACATTCAACTGGGTGCCTCCCCCAGACTGAAGCTCCTTGTCAGAGTCTGCTTTGTTGATCTTCACACAGTAGTAGGTTCCAGCGTCAGCAGGTGTGACATTACTGATGCGGATGGAAAAGTCCAGGTTGTTTCTCTTTGTGGGATCTTTAACATATGTGACTCTGGGGAACTTCTCTCCTGTGAAACTATATATTAAGTATCGACTCTGCCCTGTACCCCTGAACCACTTCACGGGCCCCACAGGGAGCAGGGAGGTCACAGTGCAGTTCAGAGTGGCTGATGCTCCAGCAGAGACAGAAACTGATTTCTCAGGCTGAATCACCTTCAGGTTCTCCCTGATATCTCCTCCTGCAGGAAACATCAGTCAGTACTCATCCTGATGGGAACCCAGAGGATCCTCTAGTTCATAATCATATACTGCTACTTTATTAGAGCTCAGCATGATGTGATCACAGTTCTCCTCACCTGGGCCTCTGAACACAAGGATTAACACACACGAGGAAACTGAATCCCTGACACTGAGAACTGGGCAGGATTCTGACTGAAACCCCAATTCTCTTTGCAATTCTCATGCTTCATCCAGTGTCCGCTGGGTTTTACCTTCTGTGCACATGGCATGAGTCCTTCTTGTGTAATAGTATTGGGTGTGATTCATGGGACTCTTTAAAGCTAGTTATACATGAGTGTAAGAGCTAGATATAACTAATGAGATGTATGTTTGATTTCAAGATTCTCTAGGTCAGGCCTGCAGTTCACGATGGGGTTGCTTTACCAGGTGAAGTGATAATGCCATAGATAGCTCTCAATATGCAATAACATGTAGCCTGATTAGAGAAATAAACCCTCTGTTTAAGTTACCAGTTCTTAAAGATATGTGTTATAATCACAGTAGATAGCTAATTAATTTTATGTGTATGGGTATTTTGCTTCCATATATGTCTGTACACCAAATGCATGACTAGCTGTCAAGGAAGCTAGAATAGGGTGTCACAACCCTTGGAACTGAAGTTATATATAGTTATGTCACCATGTGGGTGCTCAGAATTGAACCTGGGTCTCATGGATGAGTAGTAAGTGGCCTTAACCCCTGAACCATCTCTCCAATCCCATGATGATATAACAGGTTCCTAAAAAGTTAGTCGTTTGATACAACAGAAACGTTTTACTTCACACTTTAGAGGTCAGAAGGTCTAATTTACTGTAATAAGACAACTGTCACAGGGTCACAGCACTCCACCCTGCAGGAGGTCCTGCTGTTTCCTTGCGCATGGTGTGGTCACCTGTCTTCCCATAACCCTGACACTGATGATGCCTTCTTACCTGGACGCTGATGATCTGGTAGGTGCACTGTATTGCACTCACTATACTACATTAATGGACCAAGACTGTACAACATTCATTTGAGATATGAAAAGAGCAAAAAGGAAAGCAAGGAAAAACACTAAAGAAAGTGAAGAGTCTGAATAGCAAATATAACACCAAATGCAGAGAAACTGTGAGATGAACCAAAAGGCATTGAGGAGTTGAGATGTGTATAACTTAGTCCAAAGGGCAGGGTCCACAGAGGATTGATTTAGCAGGTTACAAAAAATATCTCAAATCATGGAAAAGGATCCCGTAACCTTACTCAGTCAGCACTGCAGGGGTACAATTAAGAGAAGAAATTGAAGAATTTGGAGTGTACTGCCAAGATTATTGGGGAAAAAAATCTGTTGTCTAACACCTTCCTGGTTTATTATAATGTAAGAACTATAAATCCATCACACTGAACCAATTCAGTGTAAGATAAACTCAGAGAGGCCCACACCAGTCCACACTAGAATCCAACAGACAAAAGAGGAGGAGTAACAGAGAATGCTGAGAGCAGCCTGGAGCATGACTCATCTCATCCTGCTAAATGATGTGAACACAGCTCATATCAGAAATGTCAGCATCCAGGAGGCAATGAGAGAGTGTGTGTAGTCACAGTTCTAAAAGAAAAAAACACATCCAGGATTTAAGTAAAACCAAGGATTCCACACATGGCAAACTATGGGTCCAACACTAGGGAGTAAACATGCTCTTTCTAGTTAAAAATCTGAGTTTACTGCAATGATGCCTGCCCTGCAGGAAATATTAACAGACTTCCTTTGTGTTGAAATAAAGGATCCCAGAGAATAAGGCCTAGTTTAAAAGACAATACTTCTGTCTGTATCATGAATTTTAAAATTTCATAAAGCATCCTGAGCTCCCAGTTTCCACTTAGCTGTTTGGTAATGGTGACTCTAATATTCTACCTTGCAGTTCTCATTAATAGCCTTAGGAAAGTTCATACACCTGGATCTGCTAGGAAAGATGGGGGATGGGCTCAGGCTTCACAGTCACTGTTAGGTCTCAAAGAAGAATATCTGTTATGGCAAATCTGCTTCCCCCTAGATAACTGAAACCAAAAGCAAAAAGCAAGTCTGTGAAATTAAAACCTTGTGTAATGAGATAATGCCGAATCTAGCAAACACGTGGATAGTCTTAGAATACTTACTGATTAAAAAATAAAATATGGGAAAAATAATGGGAATGGGTTAGCTTATATGAGCCTACATAGTAATTTATATTTTGGTATAGTTATATACACCAATTATATAAATAATTTTGTCAAAGTTTATAATTTGTTCCAACTGGAAATCCTGAATTTATATAATAAATTTATAGACTAATATTTTGGTTAGAAAACACCATAAAGATTAAAAAGACCTATTTAGCTTTTACTAAAGTATCTCCAGAATTTGAAAAATGTAGCAACACTCAAAATTTTGTAGACTGATTTAATACAGTATTTAAAAACAAAGTTGTAACTTAAAATTTTATGAAGCACCAGGACCTATAATATTGAAACAGAAATAAAACAGAAAGTATAGAAACAGTATGAATGACTTGCTCCTCTAGCAGGCTTGCTTAAACAGGACACATTTGTAGGAGCCATTCTTCTGCAATATTTCTTATTAGCATATTACATAATGAACAGAAACTAAAATGAACTAATGTTTTTGACATTTACAAATACTTGGATAAATTTAATTCTCTAAAGGTAAAATGGTAAATATGGGGAGATGTGAAAGTCAATGTCATGGCCCCAGGACCCATCTCATCCCTCACAAAGAACTAAAGCAGTAGCCACTGCACTTTGAGGTAACCAACTATGGGAGAGGGAAGGAAATCATCAGGAGGGACTAGAACCTGCCTTTCTGAGACAAAAGCACAGAAAACTAAACCTAGTATCCTGACACCTGTGGAATCTGCTTTGCAGAGTGGACATGAGAATCTCAGCTAACTCTATGTGCATGGATGTGGGTGATCATAGCTAATAGAAGCATCCAGTCATTACAGGCTTTAGCTGATTTAGAGAGACCAGCTGGAGTCTGCACAGCAACTTTGCTTAGGAGATTCTCCATCCTTCTCTGTCCCATTCCCAGAGCCCAGGCTGCAGTAGCTATGTACTAAGTCAGGGAAGTGTTTCTGACTTCACACAGGTAGGGTTTTGGAAGATTGTCAGTTCTCATCTGTGAGTCCACAGAAATCCCAGAGCACTAGCACAGAGGTTCCAGCCTCACCATTCAACTTATCCCAGCAGAACCATAATGACAGCAACACTCAAGCCTGTCACGTGTCACAATGATGCAGGAGAAAAGTGTTTCAGCAAAGAGGAGAACAGAGCATGGTACATAAGAGTAAAAGTGAAGGATGTTGGATCTCTTTTGTCAATAGCCTCTAGTTCATAGTAAGTATTCACCAAACTCTTCCCTATGTATGATTTGCTCAGTGTGACATCTTCCCTTGTCACTGAACCCCATTTTAAATTGGTAATTTATGTAGAAATTGAAAACTAGTTTCCCATGTGAATGAGCTTCCCAAAGAAAAGCTGTTTGTATGTAAAGAGTAAGCTGAAGAACCCAGAAGAAAACCACAGACCCTGTCCTCACTTCATCAGGCTAAAGTTCAAGAGGAGATTAAACTCTCTAGGGGCACTGACTGCTAATCCCAGGACCTCAGTCAGACAGCCTGGGTTCAAGCCACAGCTTTCCACACTGCCACTAGAGTTGTTGGTTCTTCTGCTTCTTTTTCTCTGTCTGTGCAATGTGACATGAGTTTTAACTTGACATGTAGGCCCATATGAGCTAGAACCTTGGAGTACTTTCTACAGTATCTGGGACATGGTGGCTGCTCATGATTTTGAAAAGTAATTTCTTGGTTAATTTGCTGAGTCATGGATCATTTACTGACACTGGATGATCTGCAGAGTGTCATGGAGCTGGGCACAGATTATGGAGCTGAATCTAGCTCTTGATACAGATGTGTATCTGGAGATAATTGTAACTTGCTAAATTAGCTTCCTATAGATTTGAAAAATACCTGGGATCAGCAGTTCAAAGAAGTAAATATGTCCTCTGTTTCACTGATTGAGAGAGTTCAGGGATCCTGGCTGGACTGGCTCCAATGCTGTGGTCTCAGGGGAGGCAGAACCTCCTTATGAGGACAGTGTGTAATGGAACAATGTGGCTCATGTCCACCTTACCTTCTAAACACCCAATCATTTCTCACAGTACCATCAGCTGGGAACAAAGGCTAAATTAGTATATGAATTTTTGAGTATATTTCAGACTCAAAGTACAACATTTGTGCTAGACAACTTCCCAGTATTGAAGTAAATTATTAAGATAAATCAACCAATAAAAACAGAAGTTGCACTAAATATCACAGTTTAGAAATTTTAACCTGCTGGCCATCCTGTTGCATTGGAGCCTGTAGGAAGACAGACGATCATGGTAGAAAGAGAATAATAAGGCAACTCAAGGCTGGAACATGACTAAAAAGACAGAGCAAAGACACACAGTGTCTGTCAGTGACATATTCCCCTTTAATGTTGTCATGTGTATTGGTGTTGTTTTTGTTCAGGTAACAGTATATGGACTGATCAAATTATAATTATATATTTAGGAAAGTGTGTGTGTGTGTGTGTGTGTGTGTGTGTGTGTGTGTGTGTGTGTGAAAGAGAGAGAGATAAAGAGAGATATCATGGAGTTATATATATATATATATATATATACATATATATATAGAGAGAGAGAGAGAGAGAGAGGGAGGGAGGAAGGGAGAGAGCAGTCAAAGAAACAAAGAAGGGGAGAAAAAAGAGAAAGCAGGCAATGATATAATTAATGTAACTATGTATTATTTTGATAAAATCAAAAATAAAAAGCTTCAGGAAGTGCTAAAATCATCAGAAGGATTCATCAATCACTGCTAGAATCAGGTTCAGTGAAAATGTAGTGAGCACATTTTAAAGTTCAACTTCTATTATTAGATGACACAAT